ATGCTGCCCTAGAGTGACACAGACATATTTTCCGGAGCTGACTCTTTAAGTGCCTTTGGCAAGGACTGCAGCCATTCCGCCTAGTCAGAGTCCGGGTACATGTTGGCCCTGGGAGGCCAGTAGCACAGACCCTGACCTCGGGGAAATCTGTGAAAGGATTTTTGTATTTTCCAAACCCACCTCCTGGAAGTTTCAGTATGGCAGAAAGGTAGACTTTGAGTGCCACTCGTCTGACAAACACAGATGGCATCAGGCAATGCCAGACCAGGCCAAACATCTGGCCACTTAGTGCAACCTTTGTCAGCATTGGTGACTGGCCTCAAAGTCAGGCTTCTAACTCCATGGTGCATGAGGAGAGGTGTATTTCTATCACTTCCAGGAACAGCCCACCTTACCCATTGCCACTTACAAAGCCTAAAGGGGCAGAGTCTAGGCTTACTCACGTGACTACCTCTCCCTCTTGCACAAGCTGCTGGCTCCTTCCCAGCTGAGCACTCGGGGCACACGGTACATTCTAGTAGTCCTGTGTTCTGTGGTTTCTACTGCCTGGACTTAGATGATGTCACCAAAGTCCCCCTCCACACCTGTCCTCACATGCACCTTGACTCTCTGCTTGCAAATCTACTTTAATCTAGACAGACTGCCCTGAGACACCATCAGTTCTGGGACACAGCGGCCCTCCAAGGGTTGCTTCCAAGAGCTATAGTCCCTCAGAGTGCTCAGTGCCCCAAAAAACTTACAGTCTGCTGGGAACACTGTCCTTTCTCTGTGTCTCCACTGAAGACATGCTGTTTAAATAGATTCATGACTGGCAGCACTCACTGTGGAGCATGAGGCCTCAGGAGCATTCTTCTTTGGGGGGTTGGGGGGAACTCAGTAACCAACCCCTATGGCCCACTGTTTTGTAGCTTCTAAGACCCATACTATTCAGCTTCCCTTCACTGTAGTAAAATATCATAATTTTGAAAGCTCCTGGCCGTTCTATTGCTTTGGACCTCTGGTGAAGATGCCACAAGGCAATGACAGAGAGTGACTGGCAGAGCAAACTGCTCACCTCACAACCAGGAAGCAGAGTGAAAGACCAGCTAGGGTGACCACATCTCAGTTGAGTCTATGGCAGGGCAGGGCATGACACTGTACTCTGAAAGCCACACCTGGCCCCTTCCCTGGGAGCATACACAGAGAAGCTCTACACAATGGCTCTGACCACGTCAGCTCAGAGGCCTCCTTAGTGTGGCCTCCTCTGAGGGACACTGGATGCTGTGTGGGGTAAACCAATTCCATCTAGAACAGCTCCTCCACCTTCAGAGACAATCCAAGCCAGCCCTTCCCACAGAGCAGCACAGCCTCTGGCAAGGTCTTCAGAAGAGACAGGAGGAGGTCAGAAGTAAGGTAGAAGGAACCAGAAAATACCTCCACCTCAGAGACAACTGCACCAAGGTCTCAGATGAAGGCAGCTGGAGAGTGGAGGCAAATGAACTCTATCTGGGTTGGATGTATAAAGGTGGTTAAACTTGTTCTAAAAGACACCAAGTTATTTGTTGTGCTGGAGCAAGTTGTCTGCTGTTTAATGCAGCCCTGGTGTGGACATGGGGCTGAGTCAGTCTTCTAATAGTGGTGAGGGGACTCCTGGAAGGGGCCCAGGGCATAGGAAAAGGATGCAGAGTTGACAGTAGAGTTACACAATGGGGGCTCTGCTAAGTGGAAGCTCTGTGCCCTGCTGTGAGGGAGGTGTCCCAAGTGTCATTCAGGTTGCTGAGGGCTCGATGCACATGGGCCTAGAGCAGCATATTGTAAGGATGTGTGAATAGATGTCCCATTCAGAAAAGAAAGTATAGGGGTCAAAACCCTCAGGAATAGCATTCCTTGGAAGGTCAGAAGTAATGGAAAATGTGCAGCTTATACGGACCCACTCATGGCCAGATGGAAAGAGGAGGCTTCTGAACCTTTCCTATTGACACAGCCCAGGCTGAAGACTCATGGTATTCACACTTACAAACACATGCATCCTCACACGCTTCCTCACTTATGCACACTCAGGGAAAGCATGACATCTGTCCTTTGTCCCCTTGTAGCCAAGTCATGAAGGGAAGGAACCCTGATCTAGGGATTGACCGTGGGCATCTTCTACCTCACTCCTGCTCATAGCTATCTCTGTCATTGGAACTCCTGGCAACAAGACCCTACAGAGGAATGCCAATTATTAAGGGAGTGTTAGCTATAGACAAAATTGTGCCAAGGCCTCCCTCTGTCCTTCAGTCCTCAGAAAGGGACTACACTGAGGCTAGGGGCTAGAACTGGGAGGATGAGGACTTAAATGCTACAGAGACACGGTAAACCCTGAATTTGGGCCCAGCAAACATGCCACTCTCCATGTGGGCCCAATGTGAAAGCCAGTCAACTGTAGTCATCATTAGCTCCCCACTAGTCATGATGTGGCCTCTGGGGGAATAGGGATGCTGTGTCTCCCACAGCAGGGACAAAGCACAGCTGACTGTGGCCAACAGATGAGGGTTCAGCGAAGAAAACCTGCTGATTGCAAATATATAAGAGCTCTTCTGCTTCCCTGGAGCCTGAGGGGTGAGGGAGAAAGAAGGGCATGGGTATCAGCTTCCCCAGTCCCATCCTCCCGACACCTGCCCAGCTCTTCACTCTCAGGAACATTTCCCTCACCAGCTTCCAGGGAGCACCTATACTCAGCAGCCCAGCTCCCATCCTGCCAGCTTTCTGCCAGGCCCAGACAGGACTGGGCCAGCTAAGGAATGGATGCCCCTGGGCTCCTGGGCCCTCTGAGAAGAGTCTGTGGGCTTGATGAGTTTACTTTACCAAGTATTCCCAAGTATGATTCCATCTGGGGAAAAAGAAACCCTTGTAGCTGTGTGTGGACAGATGTGAATACAGACACCTAGGTGGCCAGGCTTCTAGAGACCCAAAGAAGTCCTGTGTGCCTGGGGGCCAGCTTAAGGAGGAGGGACCAGTTTTCTTCATGGAATTTTCTATTTAACATTTTACATTCTCTGTGAAGTAGAAAAAACTTTAATGTAGAGCTTGGCTTTTCCACAGATATCATACGGTCTTTCTTTTTTTTTTCAGTAATTTTTTATGTGTATGCGTGTATTACCTGCATGTAGGTAAGTGGACCCATGTCGTGCAATGCCCATGGAGGTCAGAAGAGGCCATCGGATCCCCTGGGACTGGAGTTACAGACAGTTGTTAGCTGCCATGTGGGTGCTGGGATTCGAACCCGGGTCTTCTGCAAGAACAACCAGTGTTCTTAATTGCTGAACCATCTCTCCAGCCCCTCACATAGTGTTTCTACAGTCTGTTCCCCCCACCATGTGTATGTGCACAAGCATACATGCTATATATTATACAAACCCAGGTAGGGCCCTGTGTCCACTCTGAGGTCTGAGGGTCAGTGACACATAAAAATAGGGAAATAAAACACATTAAAAACAGATCAGTGGCAGGAGAATCTGGGAATCTAGGGGAAAACATTTTCCTATGGGAATCTTTGCATAAAGTTAGCTCTAGAAGTACAAGAGTACCCGTGTTCACAGCTGAGGCTTCATTCTTGTGTTTCCCTCAGAACTTCTCAGTCACCACAGAAAGCAAGGAGACTGTCCCTCATACGAGCAGGGCACGAGTGGCAAACAGTTCTGACCCAGAGTCCCTAAATTACAGACACAAAAGGAAGCTGTCCACAGCACACTCCAGGTTACTGGGTGTTCCACAGACCCCATACCACTTGCCTCTAGGAGGAGGCTCTGCGTGGCTCACCTCACTCCAGAACCACAAATTGAGAGCCAAGAAACACAGGCTCCAAAGCCACATGAACACCCACAGATGGAGACAGCCTGGCCAGGTAGGTCAGAATACTCCATTCAACCCCATGGTCCTCTGGGCTCCAGTTTGCCCTGAACTTGCCCAGTCATGGTGAAAAAGTCACCATGCAAGGGCCTATCCATGAGTCTGTATGTGGCCTCCCCAGCAGTTGTGAGAATGAGGAGAAGGCAAAGGAGAGGCCTGGCCACACTCGTCTGTGTAGCTGGACCATATCCAAGGCCAGCTGGGAAGGGAAGCCAGAGGGCAGTGTGTGGCTACCAGAGAGTCCTCCTTTCCACCAAACCTCCCTCGAGAGATGGGGGTCTCTGTCCCTTCCCCTTGGAAGCTTGTAACTTTCTTACAACCCAAAGAATGTGATGGATATGAAGTAGTGTGACTCCTAAAGCTCAGTCAGAAAAAGCAACTGAGCTCACCTCTAAATTCTCAGCCACCTGACAAGCAGTCTGACTAAGCTGAGGCCACCATACTTTATAAGGGAGCCCACATGACATGGCAGCCATGTGGAGGCTTCTGGCCTTGAGCCAAGAAAGGTCTCAGATAACAGCCAACAGCAGGAGGCAGTCAACATAAGAGGAGATACCTTCAGAGTATTCTTTGGGTCCTCCCTCAGCCACAGCCAGGTCATGGGTTGAGACCTCACACATTGCAAGGAAGGGACTAATTACCCCTGCTCTGTCCAAATTCCAGGCCCACAGAACAGTACAGGAAGGCAGTTACCACATTCTAAGTTTGGGGATACAGGTGGCCAAAGAGCTCAGGAAGCTGATCAACTTTCCACTTTCACCAATGCTGTAGGAACCTGGGAGGCCAGAGGTTAGGGACCTGCCCACTCTTTAGCAGGTAAGGACCCAGGCTCAGGGGCTTGAGCACTATGTCTTAGGGGATAAGCCTAGCCCTGAGTCCTGACAGCTCAGGTCCAGGAAACTAGGATCAGGCCCTGTCAGACAAAGTGCCCTCTCTGTCCTCTCTGAGGGGGCACTGGCAAGCATGCAAGCTAGACTGGAAGGCTGGATTTGCCAGGCCATGTTCAGTGCTTCTGGGCCTGACGAATGGGGACTCAAGAGGCACAGGTTACTACAGCAACCAACAAGCCACATGAGAGCCAAGCACAAACTGCTGGATTGTGGAGTGGTGAACTTGAAGGGGAAACGTACCTTGGCTTTGCCACTTGGTTCTGGAGCAGGCTGTTCCTGGGACTCTCCTCTCCATCAGCCACTTTGATACTTCGGGAGTAGACAGATGGGTGGAAGTTTCCAGGAAAAAGGAAAGAATGACACACAGTCTCTGAGGCTGTATGGGTGGGACTGGCAGGGTGCTGGACAACCTAGGCAAGGCTCCCAGCTCTAGAGTCCAAATGGACAGCAGTAGCCGTGGCAGTCAGCAACTTCCCTCACTGGTCACCAAACTGTCTGTTTGCAGGCAGGAGGCCCTGAGAAGCCACAACACAGACACTTTTATTCTCACTGCTGAGATGCCAGCCAGAGGACGAAAGGGCAGGCGAGGGGCCCGAGGTGTGGGTTTGGCCTTTCAGAATGTGGAGCCGGAAATGACCTTGACCTTCTCCCATCTACACTGTGCACATGGGAAACAAAGGCCCAGAGATGTCTCCAACCCAAAATATGTCGTCGCCGGGGCAACCTGGCCACAGCACTGACCAGCCTGGGAAAAAGTTGTTCTCAGCAGGGGATGGGTGTTTGTTTTCTTTGGAGTTTTTAAAAGGCTGGACCAGATCAGCTGTTTTAAATGCTGCTCCAGGACCTGGTGTTGCCTGCACATGGCCTGAAGGAGTAGATCAGGGCAGAGTAGGTGCTGCTGTGTTCAGAGAGAAACTCTCAGATTGCAAGCATGGATGTAGGATTCCCATATCACTAAGCAGGTAGCTCTGTTCTGTCTGTGCAAACGATGAAAGGGATCAGGCAGATCTGCCCACACTGACCAAACAGCAGGGTCCTCAGTCCTAGCTCCTAGATGAGGTCAGAACACTCCACCTCAGGCCTGCACCACACTAGCTGTCCCAGGGTACATGTACACAACTCCAGGCAAGCATTCACAAAGATGAGTAGCATAGGCGACAAGGTACAGCGACAGAGCAAACCTAAAAATGAGTAGGCAAGGAGGTAGTCACACAACACTGCTGAAGAGCATAAGCTTCAGCCTCCTGCTTCTGCTCTAAATCCTAAAACACGCAATATATGCATTTGAGAACAATTAATTCCTGGCAAAGCTGATGGAAAGAGGGTTGTGGCTGATTGTGTTTTCCAAAATGGCTACAAGATTTTCCATCCCATGTGCTTCTCTACTTCTCTTACAGGAGACACTGATGCTTTCCACCCAGTATTGGGGTCTCTGCTTCTTTTCCTAGATCCTGGTAAGTCTGTAACTGCCAAAGTGAAGCCACATGGCAAGCTATTCAGGAAGGCTGAATCCATTTCTGCCTGGTTCCCTGACTCACTTGATCTTGTACCCAGACACCATTCATGCTGTAAGGAAGCTCAATACACATGAAGATGATACTCACAGATGCTCCATCTGATGCCCCCAGATGCATCTAACTCCAACCACCAACTGACTACAATCCCTGAGCCAGAGTTGCTTGCCTGAACCCAGTCCACTCCCAGAGCCCTGAGAGACAGCAATAAGATGACTGCTGTTTTTAGCTACTGTGTTTTAGAATGATACATTGCTCAGCAGCAGATGTCCAGACCATGAATGCTCTCATTGGATCAGAGTTAGAAAAGAGTTGGGATCTAATAAATGAGGGAATCAAAGTCTCAAATTCAGAAATGGTGGGAGTAACTTTGGGGATGTTTCTAGCTTATCCAGTGCAGGTACAGGGGAAAGAATGGAACCCCAGGTTTAGATTGTTAAACTAGGAATACCCACATCTAAAAGATACTTGGTGGCCCACCCCACCTGGCAATGCATTTCTGCCTCTCACCACAATCCCGAAAGTAAATAGATAAGCCACATACAGGAGCACCAACAGGAAATCTCAGTCTAAGGGGAATACTTCCTGAAGACACTCCAAACAGCTAAGGAAAACTAATCACAAAATAGAGCTCCTGAACTCAACCAATAAAATACCTAAAGAAAGAAAGCTTTTTTTATGAAAAAGAAATTAAGCTTTCAAAAGAAGTATAATAAATATTCTTACATAGATATAGAACAGCCTACTATTAAAAAAAAATTAAACATGGGCGTGGTGGTGCACACCTGTATAGTCCCAGCACTTGGGAAGCAAAGGCAGGTGGGGCTCTGTGAGTTCAAGACCAGCCTGGTCTACATAGTAAGTTCCAGGCTAGCTGAGGCTACAGGGAAACCCTGTTTCAAAAAGACCAAAAAGAAATTTAAAGCTCTTCAAGACTAGACATATGATTATCAAAACCATCTAATAGAAAGGAGATTGAGAGTTAGAAAAACATGAGAAGAAACAGAAGAAAAGTTTGTCAAAACCAATTCCCAAATATAGTAACCTTGGACAGATCAATAGAAAAATATTTAGATAGAAAATAAAAACACTAAACAATGGGGCTGGAGAGACAGCACAGCGGTTAAGAACACTGACTATTCTTGCAAAAGACCTGGGTTCGAATCCCAGCACCCACATGGCAGCTAACGACTGTCCGTAACTCCAGTTCCAGGGGATCTGACAGTCTCTTACGTCCTCTGCAGGCACTGCGCAACACTGGTGCACTTACCTACATGCAGGCAATACATGCATACACATAAAATAAAAATAATAAATAAAATATTTTTAAAAATACAAATAAAAAGACTAAACAAAAGCAAAAAGTACCCAACCCCAATAATTTTTATAGGAAGTTCCTATCCACCTTTTAAAAAATAGTAATTTTCATGCTAGGTAAATGATCTTAGAGCACAAGGCAGTCTAGAAAACTAACCAACATGTTGTCTAAGAAGAGTATAAGGTTGATACCAAAACTGGAGGACAGTACACTGATGATCACAAATGCAAAAACTATAAGGTCCAGTCTGCCCTCTCTGCCCATGAATCAAAAATATTGGAGAGCCAAACTGGTGCCACATGCCTATAATCCCAACTGTGGGAAGCTGAGGCAGGATTGTGAGTTCTAGGCCAGCCTGGGCTGCATAGCAAGACCTAGTCTCAAAGATTTAATGGATGGATGGGTGAACAATAGAGTAAGAGAAAAAGAGATACTATGTCTATACTGAACATGTGCAGATTTTTTTCTTCCCATTATTCCCTAAACAATAGGATATGATAACTACATAATGTTTACATTGAGATACTTTGGGGGTTAGATTCATTTATATTTCATACACACTTCATTAATGTACCCTAAAGTTAATTTTAGACAATAGTTTTAATAATTTTGTGATTTAAAACAAAGAAACTGAGCTTCTAGAACATATTTCATGATGTAGAACTCTCCAGTGTGATGCTTTGTGAGTGCTCAGAAAGTTTTAGATTTTGGAGCATGTTAAGGAATGGATATAAAGTATCCCCTAAAACACTCAAGTGTTAAAGACTTTGCCGCCAATTGATGAATGGACTTTTGGGCCATGATCCTGAGGGTTCTGGTTTAATCAGTGGATTAATCCATTGATGGATTCATATTGTGATGTCATTATTAGGAAGTGGTGGGAATTAGGAAGTGGGCCTGGTCGGAGGAAGTAGGTAGAAGAGTATCTTGTCCCCAGCCCCTTTCTGTAAGTCTCTTTCTGCTTCCTGGCTATCACGAAGTAAGCAGCTCTGTTCAGTTACATCCTCTCCACCACAACACTCTGCCTTCTACAGGCCACAGCAATGGAGACCAAATGACCATGGACTTAAAACTCTGCAACAATGAGCCAAATAAACGTTTCCTCATTTTACATTGTTTCTCTTAGGTATTTGTCCCAGAGACAAAAAGTTAACCAACAAAGAGGATTTCAGATTTCAGGTGAGCCATGCTCAAACTGTATCTTACATAAATCTTCTGAAAATCTAGTTAAGAACATGTATGGATCACCTAACCTGGGGAGGTTATCAATAAACTGCAGAGAACAATCTCTGCAGTTGAGGTGGTGGGAGTTTACCACAGAATACAGAAAACAAATGACACACAGGGCTAGTCAGTGACTTTGGCTTAGCCACAGTTTGTGTGGCAGTCCCAGAGATAATATCAGAGAGGGGAGAGCTACAGATGCAGCACCAGGAATCTAGAAGCTGCTTGATGTGCATGTAATGGTTCATTTTGGCTGTCAACTTGATTGGATCCTCAATTGATAAGCTGCACCTCTGGAGCTTCTATTAAGGAATTTCCTGGAAGAATTAACTGAGCCCCAGAGTGACAACACCTTCCAGCAGCAGTCCAGATGCAAAGAGTCTGAGGGAAAAACAGCTTTCTTTTACCTGCCCACCTCCACTTCTTGTTGGTAAGTGCATCTGCTCTGTTGTTCCTTCATTGACATTGGAAACCAGCTTCTTCAGGCTTCCAACATGGGCTGAAGACCAAGCAGCTCTCCAAGAATCTTCCAAACTTTCAGCATCATATTGAGACTGCTAAGGCATCCAGTTTCATGGACTGAGCAGCCACCAGGTTCTGAGCCTCTCCACCATGCAGAGGGCCACTGTTGGACTACCTAGCCTGTATCATGTAAGTAAACCTAATAAATCCCCTTTGAGATATATATATGTATATGTATATATATATGTATATGTATATATATGTGTGTGTGTATATATATATACACATATACTCATTCTTGGTTCTTTTTATGCAGAGAACACAGATTAATATAACACATTAGTCACCTTCTGCCTATTTTCCCAGAGGAAAACTTATATGAGCACCAGAGAGGTTGAGTGATTTGCCTGGAATTACACAACAGTGGTAGACTCTAAGTTCAGGTCTGCCCTTTTTCCAAACTCCACAAAGAGAGTCCTCATGAGAGAAGAGTCCTACACTTGGGGTTTAAGGCAAAAGGTCTTAAGTTTAGGATTTGGGAGGTGCTTCAATAAGTCTATTTTGACTGGAACTTACTATAAGAAAACTGGCCTCTTTCTCCTGGTCATGTTGGTCCCTGGCTATGGCACATCCTTCTAAGTGGATGGTGTGGGACACTGCAGGCTATCTGCAACTGAACCCTAGAAGAGCTTCTCCGTCTAGACACAGTGAGAAACTCCATGGGAATTAGAAGCCTGCTTAGTCACTACCGGCAGTTGGAATGCCACTCTCCCTTCAGGCATCCTCATTAGAGGATAGAATAGAGAACAGAATAAGGAGTCTCCTAGGGTAGGTGGCAGTCACAGCTCCCTCAGGTGGAAAGCTGTCTGTCATGGTCACTGTGGGTGCTTGCTCAGCTGCATCTTATAACAAGGCTGGCTCCAGAGCTCTACCCTTCTGTGACAGCTTGGGCCTTGGCATCAGGAAAACTGGAACAGATGTAGACACTGGTTCTCAGGCATGAGGCCAGAAACAAGTATGAGTCAAAAGCAGCCTGAGTTCAATTCATTCAGCCTGGGCATGGA